CAATTCCTTCTCTGTCCACTCGTTCTGTGTCCCCCCACCCCCCCTGGCCCTGCCCTCCTCTGGCTCCTCTCCCCTTGGCCCGGCGACGCGCCCGTGAACGGCGTCGCGCCCTCGCCAGGCGTGCGCGACGGCCAAAATGGCCAAGCTGCTTGGCTACCCGCTGGAGCGGCCAGGCGACGGCGGGCGCGCGAAGCTGGGGAGGAGGTGGAAGGGCATTCGAATACGACGCAGAGGGCGAGGAAAAGGAAAAGAGCTGAGGGGGGGAACGAGGAGTGGAGTGGAGGGAGGAGGCAGGAACAGGAAACAAATCAAGTCTGAAGGAGGAGGAGGCCGAGGCAGAGGAGAAGACAGTGGAGGGGGTGAGCAGGAAGAGAAGCAAGGCGGAGAAGGAGGAAAGGGAGGATGGCAAGAGGATGCGAAGGTCAAGATGAGAACGAGACAGACGACCACTTGCGAGCCAATGTCCTTTGTCTGTGACGGATGGACGGATCAGTAGCTCGTGTATTCCACTGCGGCCTAAGTGAGGAGGGCGACAACCCGTTCCTCACTTGTGCCGCGAGAGCGGAGGCTACGAGCTAGAGGGGTGAAGAGGAAAAGGAGAAGCGACGGGCAGGGCGGGCCGCCTCCTCAGTCCTCCATCCTACTCCTGTCTCCTCACTCCTGATTCCTCCACCTCCTTCATCCCCTCACCCCATCCATATTTAACTCCTCTCACTCCTTCCATCCTCACCCCTCGCGCTGAGGCTCAAGCTCACGAGGGCCGCGACTTCTTCAGCGCCCAACCATCGAACTCGGAGAGCGCCATCTGCCGCTTGCCAGGCGGCGGCGGAGGCGCTGCGCCGCCGCTGTTGAAAACGTTCACCGTCACCCCAGCCGCCGCCGCCGGGACCGTCACGCTGACGGAGAGGTGCGGGCCCTGCACCTTGCCACTCCAGCTCCAGGCATCTTGGCGCCTGTAGAAGCTGACAGCCATGTCGGGCGGCAACTGGTTCTCGCGCAGACTCTCGCCGCCGAGGCCACAAGCGGTGCCACACCGTCCTTACCTTTACCTCGTCGAGCGGCGCCTCGGACACGTCGGAGGCTGCGTCGCTGATGTCTGGTGGCTGCACGGCTGCTGAGGCAGAGCTGGCGGCTGCTCGGCTGGTGGCTGCTGGCTGGTGGCGCCCTGCTGGTGGCTGCTCGGCTGGTGGCTGCTTGGCTGGTGGCTGCTCGGCTGGTGAGCTGGTGGCTGCTCGGCTGGTAAACTGGTGGCTGCTGAGCTGGTGGCTGCTCGGCTGCTCTGCTCGCGGCTGCTGAGCTGGTGGCTGCTCGGCTGCTGGGCTGGCGCCCGCACTGACCCTTTTGGGAAGCTGCCACTCCGCCCACTCGTACATCCCCATGACTCGCATCAACGGGCAGAGGGCCCTGCCCACGGACGACACCGCCATGCTGTTGCCAACAGCAGCGTGCACGGCGCCAGGCGGCAGGGTCGAGAGGAGGCTGTCGGGCCTGAAGCCCATTGCGGAGGCCTTCTCTCCCGCCGCGAGGTACCTCAGCCCCCGCTACTCTGCCTGGAGCGCTGCCCACCACCCATAAGTACTCGTTCCGTGTTGTTAGACACGGAAGAGCGCCAGGCACCAATATCGGGCCGTAGATCTTCTTGGGATCGCGGGCGAGGTCCGCTACTGCAAGCTCGCACCCCGTCTTGTTCTTCAGTTATGTGAAGAGCTCGTTGTAGGCCTACGCAGGCCAAGTGTCCATTTCAACAATCAGAAAACCTTCCTCCATGATCCCCCATCTCCGCCTTCCTCCTCTTCCTCGTCCCCCTCCTTCCTTATTTATGTATCCGCTCCACTTCCCGCCTCCTCCGACCACCTCCTCCTACGTCATCTTCCATCCGCTTTGCATCCAAGCTCCACCCCCCCCCCCCCCCTCCACATCCTAACCACCTACTGGCGCGCCCCGACGTCGGCGAGAAGGCCCGGCGCGGTTGGCAGCGGACCCGCCGCCAAGTCGCCCTTCACCTCCAGGATGTCAGCCAAGCTGACTGGATCCTCAGGGCGCAACGGCCTCAGGCACGAGCCCTCGCGCAGCAGATCGGACGATACCCCTGGAGCGCAGGAGGCCCTCTCCAAGATACTCTTGCGGATGCCAACGATGAAGACCCGGCTCCTGTGGCACGGCACGCAGTCCCCGACGGCGTCCACCTGGTGCCAGTTGACCTCGAAGTCCTCGCTCGGAAAGCAAGCGCAGGGAACAGGGAACGAGAGCAGGGGGAGATGACGAGGAGGGGGGTGACCCCTCGGCGTTTTGGCGGGCCTTTGCACCACCCCCAAGGGGGGCAGGCAATGGCCGAGGACAAGGATGGAAACCCTGCAGGGCGCCACAGGCCTCAAAACGGAGGTGGAGAAAAACCTCACAACACGGGGCACATAATGTCCGACCCCCTTTCGGTCCGGCAACTTCTCAGAGAGCCAGGGCAAAAGCTCGGAGGTCAAGAAAGAGGCCTTGCCGTGCTGGCGCCCCCCGATGCCCTGGACGTTCCCCAGGAGGAACCAGCACAGGCGGTTGCCCGCCAGCCACTCCAAGAGCTCTTTCATCTTGTAATACACCTACTACACCTCAGGCTTAAAGCAAACAAAAAGGAGGAGAGAAGGGAAAGGAGCGGAGGAAGGAAAAAGGGAGGGGAAGACTTGCAGGGAAGGAAGAGGGGGGGAGGAGGAGAAGGAGGAGGGCGAGGAAGAGGGAGGGGGAGGAGAAGGAGGAGGGGGGAGAAGGAGGGGGAGGAGGAGGAGGAGGAAGGGCGCCCCCCATCATCAGCTACATGGCCCAGGCAATGACAACAAGGCCCCGCCACCTCAGCCCCTCGACTCGAGACGTCCAAGTCGGTCGCCGTTGTCGCCATCCATCTGTCGCGCCCTCGCCCCTCGTCCCCTTGTCAACCCTCTCCCCCCTCCTCTCGTCATCCGTTCGATCCACCGCGACACCCTCGCACTCTGTCTCCTCTAGCTTGCTACTCCAAACGAGGCCTAATGACCCCCGCCGAGCCCGCGCGGGGCCCTCCAAGACCCAGCGGTATCAAAGCCCCCCCACAGACGACCTGACAATCCTCAAGGCCCCCCTCCCCCGGCAACAGAGCACCTGGGCTCTCTCGTCCTCCATGCCGGCCTTCTTGCCCAAGAAGCTCCAGGGCGGGCATGGGAACCCGCAGACGAAACCCTCGCTGGGGACGAAACCCGCGGGCCGCCCTGCCGGCCCCTCCACCAGGCCGTTCCTGATCCTCAAGTTCAGGATGTCGCCAGCGACCTGGCGGCGCGGAGGGAGGAGCCCCGCCCCAGCGGCCAGAGGGAGGATCAGGGGGAGAGGGGGATGAGAAGGAGGTCGAGGAGAAGGTGGCGGAGGAAGTGGAGGAGGAGAGGGTGGGTGATGATGAGGAGGAGGAGGAGGAGGATAGAGTAAGGGGCGAGCGAGGGACGGAGGGATCTCCACTCCACCCCCTTCCCTCCCTTCCAACCTCCCTCCTAGGAACGTCATCGATCCATTATCCTCCTCCTCCTTGCCCGCCGTCCTCTGACCCGAGTGAGGCCTCATGAGGTGTCTCCAGGATCCTCATCCATGGCGTCTGCAGGATCCTCACCCATGCGGTCTTCAGGAAACAATTCGCGACTAGCGGTGTCGAGCTCACTGGGCTCATCGTCGAGGTCGGTCCAGCTGGGCGGGCTGGGCGGTCCAGGTGGCGGTAGCACGAACCGCGGCACGACGTAAAGTGGGACGCAGTCCCAGTTAAACACGGATTCCACGAGTTCTACCCAGCGCCCCTGAGATAAGTCGAAACGAGAAAAAAAATAGAAAAGAGAAAAAAGAAAAAATAAAAACAAAAAAAATAACAAAAAAAGAAAAAAAAAGAGAGAAGATAAAAAAACAAAGAAAAAAACAAAAATAATGAAGAAAAAGAAGATAAAAAAACGCACATAATTAAAAAAAGACAAAAAAAGGAAAAAAAATACCAAAAACCCAAAATAGAGCAAACCGAGAACCGACGCACCGCCTCTCAATTGCCCCGAGACAGCCCGCCAATCCTATGATCTCTCGAGCCGAGGATCACACATAGCCACGATGATTGACGGAGCCACGCCTGACCCAGCAGCGTGACCGGGAGAGGTTGACGAGAGCCGAGCTCAGGGTTATCACCGAGGAGGATGGAGGAGAGGATCAAGGATCGATACAGCACCACAAACCGCAAGCTAATGCCACGCTCCAGGGTGATGACCGAATCGAATGTTGCCGGCGTGGCATGCCCCAAGGCGGACCTGGGACCTCAAAAAAACTCTGCCTGGGAACAATCGACCTATTGCTCGACAGGCCCATCCCAAGGGGCCATCTCTCCGTCGACCTCCATTCCCAAGTTGCCGTCAACGCGGCGAGCCGAGAGGGGGGCAATGGGAAGCAAGGTTTCTGACAGAAGCGCGAGCGCAAATCCCTTCGACTGCTCGTCCGCATCATCGATAGTTCTACCAGCGATGCTCAGCAGCGCGCCTCCATCGAGGCGGAGCAATTGAATCTTAGCCCTTGCCATCGAGTAGGTATGTTTCTGCCCTATGTGCCTCTGGTCCCCCTGCGCTCGCCTTTCAGGAAATCGAAACTCGGCGGTGGACCCACCCACGATGGCATAACGGCTGTCGCCCATTGACGAAGGCTGGCTCTTGAGCTGTCGAGCGCCAGCACAGAGAGCACGAACTGTATTAGGAGCTGGATACCCACTACCAGCTACAAGCGGCAACAATCGAAAACTGAAGCCAGCGTCGAACAAAGGCCAGACGAGAGATAAGCAGAGCGCCAGGGCCACAAAGTGGAGGATAGAAGATGAGGCGGATCGAGCACGGTGAGAAGGGGAGACAGAAGGAGATGGAGAGGTCATTGCACGAGGAGGCAGCAGGATAGAAAGGGAGGCGCGCCAGCAGCAGCAGAAGGAGCATCTTGACAAGGAAAGGCTGGACGATGCGGAAAGGTCAGGCAAGCAGAGACGAGGGAAGAGGAGGGAAGGGCGAAGGAGGGAGAGAGGCTGGCCAGACGCGTAGGAGTAGAAGGGCAGGAGGAAGCGGGGGTGGAGGCGGAGGAACAGGAGGCGGAGAGAGGGACGGGAGTCATGATATCCTCATCGCCCCCCTCTGTACCCCTGCCCTCCTCATTGCATTCCCTTGCTCCCTCTGCCTTCCCTTCGTCGTCGTCCTCCTCCCCCATGGTATATCCCCCCTCTCTTCTTCTTCCTCCCCATCCTCCCCATCCCCTCTCTTTCTCTCTATCTCTCGCCACTCACCCTCCATCATATTGCGTCTCCCTCCTGATATCCACTCCTCGGTTGGATGGGGAGGGGGAGAGGAGACTGCTGAGCTGCGCGGGCCGCGGGCCCGTCGAGCGAGCGGGCGGCCTGGTGCGCGCCTCAATCACCGATCGCCGAGCTCCGCGAGCTTGTCCCACCAAGTCTCGCACGGCGAGCCCTTCACGGCGCTGTGCGCCTCCATGGCGCTCGCCACGCTCATGCGACAGGTGGACAATTCGCCCTGCCACCCCGCGCAGAACCCCCACCGCATGCCCTGGCACGGGACAGGCCGAAAAGTGAGGTACACGAAGCCGGCGGGCAAGACGGCCAACGAACCTTCGCGGATGACCATGGCGAAGTTGCCCTGCTCGCGCGCCAACTGAAGGAGCCCTGCACCAGGAAGGCTCTTCAAGAAGCCAACGGTCTCGGCCAGGGAGTGCTCCTGCTTTGCCTTGACGCCCACCACCACTTCTTCTCCGCCAGTGACGACCCTGACCTCGCTGAGGCCATGCGAGGAGGGGCCCGCAGAACAGTGCCCGGCTGGGATCGCATAGATTTGAACTCCGAAGATGTGCTTGTGGAGAGCCTGGTCCTTCGGCGTCACCGGCACGAAGGCGCTTCGGAAGATAGTCTGGCCATTCGCCTCGTCTTTCACCAACCCCCTCAGCATCATGAGGATTCCAGGCTGAGACGCTGCCCCAAAGGCGGGCGCCGCGCCATCGCTCTCCCAGGACATCACCTTTTCCTTGCGCCATTTGGCCAGCGGCTTCCAGTCAGCTGAGGAAAGCAGGGGATCCAGTGAGGCCTTGACGTCGATGAGGCAAGCGTTCTGGAAGTCGAGGTTGCACAACGAGTTCATCACTCCTACAGGTGCGTCGTGGATCGTAGCTTTTACCATCGTCAGCGCTGGGCGGTAGTCCTGCGTCTCGCCAATGTCCAGAATCTCTGCCCTCTCTCCAGCCTTGCGTTTCTTGGAAGAGGCACCGCCGCTGGCGGCCTTCGCGAGAAGAGACCGACAATTCTGCAACATCTTCGCTGTCAAGACCTGGTGGCAACAATCTTTTTTTCTGTTCGGCAGCGATCTTCTTGAAGGCCTCTTTCACACCAGCGACAGACAAGTCCCAAGCCGGCGAATCGATGTGAGCACAAAGCTTCGAGATTCTGGCTTTGACATTATTGATCTCATCCTGCGCGGCTGTG